TTACGCGTTGAATATCTATGCGTTAGATATCTGCGCGTTGGATTTCTACGCGTTAGATATCTACACGTTGGATTTCTACGCGTTAGATATCTACACGCTACATTACTACGCGTTGGAATTCTACGCGTTGGAATTCTACGCGTTGGATTTCTAAGCGTTAGAATTCTACGCGTTGGAATTCTACGCGTTGGAATTCTACGCGTTGGAATTCTACGCGTTGGAATTCTACGCGTTGGAATTCTACGCGTTGGAATTCTACGCGTTGGAATTCTACGCGTTGGAATTCTACGCGTTGGAATTCTACGCGTTGGAATTCTACGCGTTGGAATTCTACGCGTTGGAATTCTACGCGTTGGATTTCTAAGCGTTGGATTTCTACGCGTTGGAATTCTACGCGTTGGATTTCTAAGCGTTGGAATTCTACGCGTTGGAATACTACGCGTTAGATATTTACACGCTAGATTTCTACGCGTTGTATATCTGCGCATTGAATTTCTACGTGCCAGATCTTCATTCCTTAAATTTTTACGCGTCGAATTTCCACATTTTGAACATCTATGCATTCAACATCAACATGCCCAATATCTCCACGTTAGACATTTGCACGTCGGATATCTACACGTTGGATATTTTCCTGTCTTATAATTACGCGTTCAATTTTCTCTCACTGTACATACATTCCAATGCATTCTATGACATAAATCATCACAATTCCTTGAAAAATAACATCTACAAAAATACCTAGAATCGCAGAAAATCAAAACCAACCACAATCCAATTAACTTGAAAGTTCCATACCCAATTGAAAGGTTAAACATCGAGCAATTTAAGTCAGTGAAAACCTAATCTTGACAAACAAGTATTGCGTCACAATCTCCAGAAAGTAATCGACAAACACAAACGCACAAACAGACACAACCTCGAACAAATATCGATTCTCGTACAGCAGCATCACCTTTGTCGCACAATAACAATATACTCACTGTAAGATGTTGTAACACGTGTGTAAAACGATGAATCGCATGTTAAATATCATCACAACGAACGAATAGCGATCGTTCCACACACGCGATCGGTCACTTTCACGATCACATAACTGGTATAAGTACTAACACGATCGTTGTTTGCGCAATACACCGCACGAACGGCTTTAAAAGTGAATTACGATCGCCTCGTGATTTGTGTCCTTATCCGGAGGAAAAGAATCCTGGTGGGCTTTTAGAGCCGCATCGCGGCATGGGTGTGTGTTTCCAGGGCACGGTGTTGTCCGCAGGCCCCTCCAGTATGAATCTTGTCCCCCCAGCCCCTCAAAACGGTGCCCAAATGGGGCCCAATGATTCTATTGGACGCTACTCTAAGGTATCTAATGATTTCATCTAACAACAAAAAATCAAACTTGTATATTTATTACTCGTAACCGTTTCAGAGTCGATTGTTTTGTTTCTGTTTAGCTCTGATGTAATTCGAATGTTGTAACATATGTCAATGATATTAACTGGTTATGGGAAATCGATTTCTGCAGCCGATCGGTACAGTGGCGTGCTAGAATGTGCCAATACTATTTTAACATTCGACTCGTGCAAAATTCCTTCAAAATTTTAAACAATTTTTTAAAATAAATGACGATTTAGAGTGAAAACTTTGTGTAAATATTTTTGGAGAGAACCTGGTGTAAATACTGTGAAATAGTAAAACTTTATGTGAAATATCGACCGAGCAATCTTTCACAGCACTGTACATAGTGGCACGGATAAAGTCATTCGAAGCATTGTAAAATAAAAATAACTTTCTCTGATCAATTACCAAAATATAACAAAGCTTGCAATCATCAGGTGTCGTTCAGAGAACCAGAAGACGGAGAGCTTTGGTCGACAGAGAAGCAAGCAGGACCGCAATCGTTGAACCAACGTCAAGAGGTAACCGTGAAAGCTCAGATCCACCGTTCCCAGAGTCCCCCGAGGAAAAATTCCGAGTTGGTCCGCAAAACCAGCGTGGAATACGCGGTGAAGAAAACGATCGTCGAGAGAAAGGCTGGTGACAAGAAATCCTCGGGTCCGGTGGATCCCAAGAGGTCCAACAAGAACAACGTGCAAAGCAATTTCACGAATGTGCTGAGCGAGCTGAAGAACCGTAAGAGTAGTGTGGATAGCAATTTATCGAACTCGAGTAATAATAAGGGTGTGCCACCTCCTCCGCCGATGCCACCTCCTTTGGAGTCGCATGATCCTTCGGAGTCGAGGCCGTTTTTGGATCCTTATGGACGGGCTAAGACTGTTCGAATCGGCAAGTGGAGGTAAGGATGTTAATAATGAAGCTGCAAGTCAAAAATTTTGGATAGCTTGTATGATCTCATGTGAGGATGTGGAGAGACTTTGTGTGACGTCATGTGAGGATGTGGAGAGACTTTGTATGATCTCAGCATTGAAGGATATTTTAAAAAGTTGCTGTTGAAGTGTACAGAGTGATTTACTAAGTTTGTACTTAGTACCAGAACACTTATATGACATCATATGTGGAGACCTCATATGATCACATATGAGGATATGTAGAAACCTTGTATAATCTCAGAGTTAAAAGACACTAAAAAATTACTGTTGAAGTATACAGAGTGTTCAACATCCTCTAAATTTGTACTTAGAACCAGAACCCTCATATGGTCTCATATGTGGATATGAAGAGAGCTCATATGATCTCATATGAGAATATGAAGGAACCTTGTATGATCTCACAGTTGAATGATATTAAAAAGCTTGTTCTGAGGTATACAAAATCTTCAACATCCTCTAAATTTGTGCTCAGCACCAAAGTCCTCATATGACCTCATATGTGGTTATGAAGAGACCTCATATAATCACATATGGACATATGAAGAAACCCTATATGATCTCAGAGTAGTTTGATATTAAAAAGCTCCTGCTGAAGTATACAGAGTGTTCTACATCCCCTAAATTTTTGCTCAGCACCAAAACCCTCATATGATCTCATATGTGAACATGAAGGGACCTCATATGACCACATATGAGTATACGAAGAGACCTTGCACAATTTCAAAATTGAATGCTATTAAAACATTACTAGTAACATTTCAAGGTCCCTGTGCATATAAGTTTGATTTAAGAGGACACCCTATATCCTTGATGATTCATTTAACACATTTTCAGATGGCCCCCACCGAGCGACTCGAACGAGAATCAAAGCCAAGACAGCTTCATCGAGTTCAAAATGCGTCAACAGCACCAGCAGCGTAAAATCACGCCCCAGTACCAGGAGTACAATCAAGGAGACGGTGAACATAGCACAGAGGGTGCGGTGGAATGGGAAGAGTTCGAGATCGAGAACATAGTTGGTGTGGAAGAGAAGATCACTCACGCTCCTGTCCCTAGCAAGCACGAGAACGGGTACAAAGAAGAAGGGGAGAAGAAGAAGAAGAAGTCCAAGTACGATAATATTTTTTACTTCAATCCCTGGGAAGAGGATTATTGAATGACCTGAATTATTTGTTGAATGACTTTCGCTCATGTTCTTTGTTAGGTCCGGTTTGGAGGTGGGTGCACAGAGGCCATCACCAGGCAGTATAGGAAAATTGAAGCTCAGCTCGGAGATGCGGCAGAGGTTGGAAAAGGTGACTGCGAATCATAGTGTCAGATCGACGAAGACCAGCGAGAAACCAGCACTGCCGCGAGAGGATGGTAAAGTGAAGCGTTTGGAGGATAATAGGAAGCTTCTGCTCGAGCAACAATTAGGTAACTTTTGTGTTGAGGGTTAATTTTTAAGATTGATAAGAGTTAATGATATTGAACTATCGTAGGAGGACGATGGGACGATTACGCTTCCACGGCTGACGATACGCAAAGCGTGACTTCAAAAGGCACGACGGATATGATGACTCAAGCGCAAGTGGTTAGAACTCAAATTGAGAGGATGGAGAGGCCTGTGCCTCCTCCGCTTCCGGTTACTCCTCCACAACCTCCTAGTCCCAGAGGTGGAAGCATGTATAGTAATAGGTACTTTTGCAACCATGTGTGGATACGTTAATTGAACCTTGTAATAGCTTGGTGCTTATATTAGGTATATGGTACTTGTATTAGGTACTCATACGTTACACACACTAGATTTTCATATGATACTTGTACTGGGTACTCATATGTTACTGATATTGGGTATTCATATGGTACTTGTACTAGCTACACATATATTACATATAGTAGGTATTTATATGCTACTTGTACTAGGTACTCATATGTTACATATACTAAGCACTTACATGGCACTTGTACTACTAGGTATCCATAAGTTACATATACTAGGTACTCATATGACACTTGTACTGGGTACTCATATGTTACTGATACTAGGTATTCATATGATACTTGTACTAGGTACTCATATGTTATTGATACTAGGTACTCATATGGTACTTGTACTATGTACTCATATGTTACATATACTAGATACTCATATGATGCTTGTCCTAGGTACTCATATGTTACTTATACTAGGTATTCATATGATACTTGTACTAGGTACTCATATGTTACTGATACTAGGTATTCATATGATACTTGTACTAGGTACTCATATGTTACTGATACTAGGTATTCATATGATACTTGTACTAGGTACTCATATGTTACTGATACTAGGTATTCATATGATACTTGTACTAGGTACTCATATGTTATTGATACTAGGTACTCATATGGTACTTGTACTATGTACTCATATGTTACATATACTAGATACTCATATGATGCTTGTCCTAGGTACTCATATGTTACTTATACTAGATATTCATATGGTACTTGTACTAGCTACTCATATGTTACATATACCAAGTATTCATATGTTACTCATACTAGGTACTCATTACCATAACAAATGTCTACTGGCACTTCCACTGTACACTTATAATTTATTACTCTATTAATTACCTTGAAGTGCTACTAAATGACAATGATAATTAAAAACACTTCTTCAAATATTTAAATCAGGTGAACAACTAATTAAAAATCTTTATGTATCAATATGTTCTGTGGACACTATGTTTGGTCACACAGTCTGAAACAACTGCATCCTATAAATCTAACAAAATTAATCAGCTCTTAAACTTCTCTCATTTCAGTCAATCAGGAATAGCTCAGCCCAGGTCTCCCCCAGCGCCCGTAGAGCCAAAGTCCCGGGACTCCTTCAGAACCTCCCCAGACTCCGAAGCGTTCGACCACTTCGCCAAGAGCCAGCGCGACATGTTCAGCCAAAGTCGCGACATATTCGCGTCCCAACAGCACCTCCGCGAGAACCACGAGTACCGCAACGACTTCGACAAGTCCCGCCAAGACCAAAAATCCAAGGACTTCTACGGGAAAGACAGCACGGATCTCGCGAGTTCAGCCAGAGACCGCAGCTCGGACTTCGACTCGCGTCGCGATCTGAATTCCGACATATTCGACCCGAAATACGCCAGAGACATCTTCGAGAACACGAGTTCCAAAAGAGACCCGTTTGGAATGACCCGTGACGTGTCTCCCAAGTCACGCGACAGCTTTGGAATGCCATCGTCTAGGGACTTCGGTGTAATGCCGAACACCAGGGAGTCGTTCGTAGCGGCGCGTCAGAGCTTCAAAAAGCTGGATCGCGAGGTCGACAGAAGATCCAGCATCGCGTCGACCCATCGCACTGACAAGATGGAGAGGATCGAGATCGAGGAGTGGCCGGAGTTCCTGAGACCCGTGATGCCTCCAGCAGAGAAACCGGAAATTGAAAAGGTGCAGGAAGTCGTGAACACCAAACTGTACCCTCAAACGTCCACCGCTCATTTCACGTACAACCGAGTGACGTGGTCGTTGAGGGTGAAGAAAGAAGTCTTTGCACCCAATGAGACATTAAACAGTCCTCTGGCATTGCATTTGGTCTTCTGTCAAGTGGCCTACGATGTCCTCGCCACGTCCAGTATTAGAATCACCAAAGAGGACAGGCAGAATATGCTGAAGATGCTGGACAATTATGGAGTCACTTTGGACAACCTGCAGAGCACTCAGCATAAGATTACTATTAAGAAGAATGTTGTCGATATGGCGAAACAGTGGCCTTTGTACTTTGCGAGGATCTTTCCTGTGTCGGTGAGCAAATGAATATTTAAATGTATTTGTGGTGTCTTCGGGTTGTGGAACTTTTGGACTTTGATGGACTTTTATGGGGTTTTAGGATTGTGGTGTTTTGGATTGCAGAGTTTTTGGATTTATAGGTGGAATATGGGAACGTTGGGACGTGGGAAGTTTGGAATATAGGGGTTTTGGGGTGTAGGAATTTCGGGTCGATGGAATTTCGGGACGACAGAATTTCGGGGCTTGGCGACTTTGGGACGATGGAATTTCGGGGTGTGGGAATTTCGGGACGATGGAATTTCGAGGCGTGGGACTTCGGGACGGATGGAATTTCAGGACCTACGAATTTCGGGACGGTGGAATTTCGGGNGGAACAGTGGAATTTTGGGACGATGGAATTTCGGGACGATGGAATTTCGGGACGATGGAATTTCGGGACTATGGAATTACGGGACGATGGAATTTCGGGACAATGGAATTTCGGGGTATGGGAATTTCGGGACGATGGAATTTCGAGGCGTGGGACTTCGGGACGGATGGAATTTCAGGACCTACGAATTTCGGGACGGTGGAATTTCGGGTCGATGGAATTTCGGAACGATAGAATTTCGGGACGATGGAATTTCGAGGCGTGGGGACTTCGGGACGATGGAATTTCAGGACCTAGGAATTTCGGGACGTTGGAATTTCTGAACGTAGACTTCGCAACGTAACTTCAGAACATAGCACCATCAGAACATAACCACAAAATCTTAAAATTATAAAGCCACACACCTCCGAATCTCAAAATTCCAAAACACCCAAACCCACTAACTTTTTTAATCCTCCAAACGTCATCAATTCTCCATCTTCCTAAATTTCATCAACTTTAAAAATGAAAGACATTACAGCTAAATCCAGTCCACATATAATGCAAAGCAAAGCATTAGCAATGTGCAACTGTGCCATAATGAACATGTCCGTTCCAACCCAAGCAATCAACATTCTGAATCAAATTAGGTTTACCATATTTGTTTCGCTTGTTTTTCCATATGAATCACATTTAACTGTTCGCTACATGCACCGTGTGTGAATTCATACATGGCTAATCACACGTGCAATTCTTCAGTAGAAAGTCATGAATAGAAAATACTGTGATTAAGAATACCATTGCTAGTTTAACTTTGGAGTATCGAGCAGTTGTTCAATGTACTTCTTACGATGTAATTATGTCACGTGCTACCGTTTCGTTTTCTATTTTCATTGGATAGATTTTAATACCGTTGACATGTAAGTCTAATCAAGCTGATTAATTGACTAATTTAATTTGAGTGATTTATTATTTGTTCACAGAGTTGTTCATTATTTGTTCACAGATTGGACCTCAGCATCCAGAAACCCAACACGTAGCCGTCTCCCATCACGGTCTCCGACTCATAAAACGCACTCCAAACGGCGATCTGGTGATTCTAGAGACTTTGCCTTTGGAGGACATTGTTTCTGTGAGTTCACCCAGAGCCGGCGTGTGTGTTATGCAAATTTCGTCCGGGGTTAGGCTACCTCTGCACACCAATCGGGCGCCGCAGCTGACTGAGATGATCAACACTTACATCAGACTGGTAAGTCTCATACTTAATTTATATTATAATATATGGGCTAGGTACCATGCGTGAAAATACCACGCGTGGAAGTACCATGGATCGAATTACTATGCGCCGAATTACCATGCGTCGAATTACCACGCTTGGAAGTACCACGGATCGAATTACTACGCGCCGAATTACCACGTATCGAATTACCACGCGTGG